GGGGGCATCGCGGTGGGGGTGGAACAGGAAGTCTGGGGGTTGGAGTATGTGGCGCAGGGCGACCTTAACGTCCCTAACTACAACAGTCCAGAAGGTAGACTTTGTTGGCACAGGTCGCCCAGCAGGCTAGGTGCCTACCCACCAGGATGTGAGCACCGGCTGGAAAACAGCGGGGCTGCAGGACGCTTGGTAGGACAGGTTAGTCCACTGCCTGCTCATGGTCACCTCCTGTCCTGTCCTCCTAAGGGAAAGGCTCTGGGCTGGAAGATCGGGTGGCTCCTCAGCACCGTAACTCTCCCTCTTGGAAAGACTGCACCTCTCTCTGCAGGCCACATGAGTCTTCCCTACATGCACTGGCGTGACCTGGGCAAGCCAGCCCTGTCTCTGGGCGACCCATCACTACCCTTGATATCAGTATCATTACCCAATTTTACTACTGTCACCAAAATTAGAGAAGTCTCTGTCAAAATAAACCACTACCAAAACAGGTTAACCACTTTTCAGGCCCCTAATTAAAGAAAGGGATAACTATTTTAAACTCCCTGCTGAATAAGAACAACAAAAAAAGTGCCCAGTTCAGATTTCCATAATAGCAGTGAAATAAATCTTATGAAATCTATAATCAATTTATTAGTAGCCTTACCCAAATATCATCACTAGGCAGCATCTGGTCAGGGCTGAAGTAGTTCCTGTAATAACAGCATAACAGAGAACTAGATGCAAGCATACCTCACATTGCCAGAATTATTTAACCTGCATAATAACTGTGAAAGTGAAAAGCTGAGGCTATCACATGCTTAGTCACTGTCCCCAGGCCAGAGAGATAGCTTTGACACTGCTGAGCCGGCTGCCTATGTGCTGGGCGTTGAGCTGACAGTGCACACTGCCACCTACTTAGGGCAATTCCCACACACCCAGGCCCCACCCCCACCCAAGACTGGGAAAGTCCAGGCCCCACCAGGAGAGGTGGGCAGGTGGGGCCCTCGGGTCTGGCTGCTGGGCGGATTTGTTAAAAAAAAAAAAAAAAAAAAAAAACTATGAGTTGGGACTTGCCTTATGGTTATCTGAACCTGGTAGTCTTATGCATATTAGCTTCATTTTATGTCCACAGACGCATCCTACACCAGTGGCTTACAAGGCATGGGGTTGGAGAAATGGCCTTTTCTTTTCTTTTCTTTTCTTTTTTTTTTTTTTAATGTGCTTGGTTGTTGCAAGGTCTCACTATGCAGCTTGAACTCATGGTGATCCTCCTACTTTCAGCCTCCCCAGCACTGGGATTACAGGCATGTGACACTATGCCCAGACTCTGGCTGGCTCAGCCCACCTTGGGGGTGAGGCTGGCGAGGCATGTGGTGCCTGGGACTGAACCGTGGTCCCTGTGCTTGCCTTAGCTTGGCTAAGCAGGTGCTTTAGTCTGCTGACCTTTCTTGCTGGCCTGGCCTTTTCCTTCTAAACCTGCAATGTATGGTCAAAAAGAATTTTTTTTTCCAAGACCATTTGTTCTACTTCCTATGCATAATTTCCTTGCATATAATTTAACTCCTTTTAAATTGCAGGTTAAATTTTAAAATCCCAATCTTAGTTTTACCAACTGTGATGGGTCTCTGAATCTTGAAGTACCTGTTTCTTTCTTCTCTGATTTTTAAATAAAAAGTGCAGGTCAATGTTTTGCTGAAAAGCAGATGGGGAAGCATCCCCTGGTTTTCCATTCTGTCCTGCACTCATGTGCACGAACATGTACGCACCACTCACAGGGATATGAGCCATAAAGTGGGCTCCACCTCAGCCTCACCCCAGTCCAGCCAACCCCACCCCTGTGTTGGAGAACTCAGGCAGAGGCTCAGGAGCAGGGGCCTGATACTAAGAGGATTCTTATGGGATAAACAGAGCCTAGTATCAGGGAAACAAGTATATAATGTTGAGGAAAACTATCACTGCCCCAGATAGAAGTCAGTTTCCAGGAGTAGGAAGGAAACATATTTTCACTGTACTTTGTCAGTCATCTAAGGAGAAAAAGCAACCATCGTCACAGAAAAGAAGAATGTGAGGCCCCAGCTGGCCTCATAGGCCATGATTGCCCTCTGTACTGCTTAATATAAATAAGAGAGAAGAGAGGCAGACAAAGTATGCACTGCAGGTGTCCTGGGGGCCTGGAGACCAGACTACAGGACAGAATCTCCAGGGAGGCAGGTCCTGTGCCTGCAGTGTCCCTGGTGCTTCCCCTGTGACCCCACCCTGTCTGCCTCAGCACTGCCATTGGGAGAGGATTTCATGTCCTCACAGGGCCCTGCTGCCCCATCACCCTATGCCTGGTGACGCCAACCTCTAAAAAACCAGTGCCCATTCTCTTAAGGGAGAGGGGATAGAGGAAAAGGAAAAGGCACAGCAAGGAAAGAAAACTAAGATTTCGCCAAAGACTTCCATTCAAGCCTATTTGTGCATAGCCTGATAGGTTGCTTAGCAAAAGTACAAGAGGTTCCTCCATCAAACTGTCCACAAGCACTGAAGGCCCGCAGTCTCCACCAGCCTCAGCTCCTGCAGCTCCTCGGACTGCCTCAGCCACAGCTTAGCCCTCTGGCGCGAGTTAACCACACCCAGAGGAGCCCCTCAGGGTTTGGGTCACAAGACTTGAGAACCAGCTGTTCTGTCTGACTTCAAAAAAGGTTGGCCATCACTCAGATGATGCTAATTAAATACCCTGCATGGAGGAAAAGACATGCAGTCAGTGTAAATGCACAGGGCTGGGTCACAGGGTGGCGGCACTGCTGCAGCTGGGCAGGGACAGGCCCTGTCTCAGTTCCTTGGTGCTGGTGTAATGAAGCACCAGAGCCTGTGTGGTTTAAACCACGGAACGGTATCCTCAAGGTCGGGAGTAAGGAGGGTAAGGTCGAGGTGCTGGTGGCCAGATGGCAGGCCCTGCGTGTTCCACATAGTGGAATCTTTCCAGTCTTCAAGGGCAGTGAGGACAAACTCCGCCAGCAGGCTACGAACACCAGTCCCACTGGGGACAGAGCCCATGTGACCCGATCACCTCCACAGAATCCCCCTTGTAATGCTGTCACAGTGGGGATTAGGTCTGAATGTGATGTTTTTAGAGACACAAACGTCTAAGCCAGAACCCAACTATGTGTGCGCATGTGCGTACTAGCATTGCCTTTGCTGGGACCAAACCCACGACACACGCACACTCACACTACCATTCTGAGTCTTCACACACACACACACACACACACACACACACACACAGAGTTCTAGAAAACCAGGAGCCAGAGAGTGGCTCACAGCTGCCTATCCTCTGCCTTGTCATGCTTTGAGCATGTTTCCCCACGTATCTTTGCACACAAGCATGCCAAGAGCTGAAGCTCAGTGTCCAAACCACACAGGGAAGAAACACATTCGTTTTTCTGGGCCATCATTTCTGCCCTCAACCTTGTGTCTTGCAGAGCTTGGAAGACATTGCGTCGGTGATGGGGCTGCCAGCTCACAGACTACAGCCCCGTACAGGGTGACCAGGACACCTGGGCAGATGCCAGCCTGGCCCCCACAGGCTTCTGCTGCAATGCCTTTTGTTACCATTCCTGGGTGATACCACCAGAGCTACTGCCTGACCCTGGGGTGCAGAAGTGACTGTTGCTTGCTGCATTTCAGGGCCAGGGCCGCCAACTCAGAGCCCTCTAACAGGAAGCCCTTTCTACTCCTGGCCCTTCGGCCTGCTGCCCTCCTCTTAGCTTCTCGAACGCATTGCCAGCCTCCCTGCCAGGAGTAGGGCTTTCAGCCCAGAAGCCAAGGAGCACCCAGGTGTAATGGTGCTTCCCTGTCATGCCAGCTACTTGGGAGGCTGATGCAGGAAGATCACAAGTTCCAGGCCAACCTAGCAAGGCCCTGTCTCAACATTTTAAAAATTAAGCTTTCTTGATTCACTCCCTAATCTTGGAAAAAGAAAGACAAAAAGAGAGAATGTGTGGAGAAAAGCCCATAGGCACATTGTTTCCCTTGTACTTTATCAAAGTGCAAAGCCCCTGCCTGAAGAAGGGGAGGAAGCAGGACACAGTAAGGCTGCACAGGGCGAGTTTCCGGCTGACAGTGCTGCTCTGGGTGTGCATGGCCTGGCACAGGAGAGGGAAGTGTCTCCCAGTGGGAGTGACGAGGCCACAGAGGATGGTGCCCCTGTGGGAACTGAGAGTAGGCCCTGAACACTGCTGTCAGGAAATCCCAGCCACATCCTCAAGACTGCAGGGAAGAAGTGGCTTCAGTCACATATGCCATGAGAGTCGAGGCTGTCAGGCCTGGCCCACCAGACCTCCACCTGCCCACTGCCACCTCCCACAAAGGCTGCTATGCCTCAGGTAATGTGTTGCATCCCACAGCAGCGGAAAACAAATATGTTAGTCTCAAAAAGATCGTCCCCGGAGTGTGCTTCACCCTGGGTTGCTGAGGTGTGCATTGCCCGCCTCAGGCCCTGTCACTGTCCAAAGAAAGAGCAGTGTGGTTTGCAGGCAACTCTCAGCGCCCGCAGCCAGGTCACTGAGCAAGGCACCCACAGGCTCCTGAATCACCTGTGATGGATCCTTGA